GCTAAACCCAGGGTTTTGAGTTCAATCCTTGAGGGGGCCATTCTGTGAGACAGTTGTTTTTGGGGGAGGGATAGCTCAGTGGTTTGAGCATTGGCCTGCTAAACCCAGGGTTGTGAGTTCAATCCTTGAGGGGGCCATGTAGGGATCTAGGGCAAAAATTGGGGATTGGTCCTGCTTTGAGCAGGGGGTTGGGCTAGATGACCTCCTGAGGTCCCTGCCAACCCCGATAGTCTATGATTCTATGACTCTCGCTACACTACTATTTTTAGTGCACTAGCTCAATGGGAGCTAGTGCAACTAAGGCCTGGTCCACAGTATGCGGTTATTTCGGGATTAGCTGAGTTACCTCGAAATAAAACTGGTTCGGTCCACATGACCAAACCAGTTTTTTCGATTTAAAGGGCTCTTTACTCCGATTTCTGTACTCCACCTTGGCAAGTGGAGTAGTGCTAAAATCGAGATTGCAGTTCTGGGTTACAGGTACTGTGGACGCAATTTGACGATATTGGCCTCCGGGAGCTATCCCAGAATGCTCCCTTATGACCACTCTGGACAACACTCTGAACTCCGATGCACTAGCCAGGTAGGCAGTAAAAGCCCCGGGAACTTTTGAATTTCCTGTTTGGTCACCATCAGCACAGTCGACCATCAGCACAGTCCACCATCACAGGCGACCACACAGTCCCGGATTCGCAGACGAGCTCCAGCATGCTCTGAACGGGAGGTACTGGATCTCATTGTATGTTGGGGAGGCGAATCTGTTATGGCAGAACTACATTCCAAAAAAAGGAATGCAAATACGTACGCTAAAGTCTCCAGGGTCATGATGGAAAGAGGGTACTCCAGGGACACAGAACAGTGTCGTACAAAAATCAAGGAGCTCAGGCAAGTGTACCAAAAAGCCAGGGAGGCGAACAGCCGCTCTGGGTCACAGCCCCATATATGCTGCTTCTACCGTGAGCTACATGCTATTATGCGGGGTGGCGACACTACTACCCCACCACTGTCCATGGACACCTGCAAGGGGGGAGTAGCACGGAGCGAGGAGGATGAGTTTTTTTTGGAGGACGAAGAGGAGGAGGACGGCTCACAGGCGGCAAGTGGGGAATCTGTTTTCCCCCCTAGCCAGGAACTATTCTTAACGCTGGAGCCAATAGCCTCCCCCCTACTCCCAAAGCATGCTCCTGGACCATGACCCTGGAGAAGGCACTTCTGGTGAGTGAGAGCTTGATTGGAGCCACACGATAGGGGGAAACCCAACCGCGCTGGGCTCTTTGTGTTTAGTTTAAAGGGATCATCCCTGCTCAGAGCCTCATCAGAGCCTCGCTGGGCTGTTCGCATTTATTTTAAAGGGCTCATCCCTTTTCAGAGCCTCATCAGAGCCCCATGGTGGGTGGGTGGGTATGTGTGTGTGTCGGAGGGCGGGGGGGGGAGTGTTCATAGAATCATAGAATATCAGGGTTGGAAGGGACCTCAGGAGGTCATCTAGTCCAACCCCCTGCTCAAAGCAGGACGTCCCAGAGAGCCCGCAGGCTGCCTGCAAGCTGAATTCTGTTGCCTGGCTGCATGTGATGGCTTACTCACACCAAAGTGGCAGGCACTTCAGTATAAGAGGCAAAATGAGACCTTGTACAGAAAGAACATGTGCTGTGTACTATGAATTGCCTGTTTCACTGAGAAACAGTGTCCTCTTTGTGCTCTAAAATGTATCTTTTAAAATACTACCGTGAACCAAACAGCACAGCTTCTGCTGCCACCCTGCTCTCCTACGTTTTTCGCACCCTTTTTTCAGGATTACCCATGCAGGCGCCATAGCCATGGAGCCCGATCAGATCTCTGCTGCAGTTTTGACCATTGTAAATACCTCGCGCATTATCCAGCAGTATGTGCAATACCTGCAAAAACCGGGCGAGGAAGCAACAACAGCGCGATTACTATACTGATGAGGATATGGACACAGACAGCACGGCATGTGGCGATTGGGAGATCACGGTGCTGTTGGGCCAGGTTCATGCTGTGGAACGCCGATTCTGGGCCCGGGAAACAAGCACAGACTGGTGGGACCGCATAGTGTTGCGGGTATGGGATGATTCCCAGTGCCTGAGAAACTTTCGTATGCGTAGGGCCACTTTCATGGAACTTTGTGACTTGCTGTCCCCTGCTCTGAAGCACAAAGACACCAAAATAAGAGCAGCTCTCACAGTTGAGAAGCGAGTGGCCATAGCCCTGTGGAAGCTTGCAACGCCCAACAGCTACTGGTCAGCTGGGAATCAGTTTGGAGAGCGGAAATCTACTGTGGGGGCTGCTGTGCTGCAAGTAGCCAGCGGAATCACTGACCAGCTGCTATCAAGGGTAGTGACTTTGGGAAATGTGCAGACCATTGTGGATGGCTTTAATGCGCTGGGGTTCCCTAACTGTGGCGGGGCGATAGATGGAACGCATATCCCTATCTTGGCCCTGGAACACAGGGGCGGCCAGTACATAAACCGCAAGGGGTACTTTTCCATGGTGCTGCAAGCATTGGTGGATCGCAAGGGACATTTCACCAACATCAATGTGGGATGGCCGGGAAAGGTGCATGACACTCGTATCATCAGGAACTCTGGTCTGTTTGAACAGCTGCAGGAAGGAACTTAATTCCAAGACCAGAAAATTACTGTTGGGGATGTTGAAATGCCTATAGTTATCCTCAGGGACCCAGCCTACCCCTTAATGCCATGGCTCATGAAGCCATACACAGGTACCCTGGACAGTAGTAAGGAGCAGTTCAATTATAGGCTGAGCAAGTGCAGAATGGTGGTAGAATGTGCGTTTGGATATTTGAAAGCACGCTGGCGCTGGGGGGGGGAGGGATAGCTCAGTGGTTTGAGCATTGGCCTGCTAAACCCAGGGTTGTGAGTTCAATCCTTGAGGGGGCCATTTAGGGATCTGGGGCAAAAATTGGGGATTGGTCCTGCTTTGAGCAGGGGGTTGGACTAGATGACCTCCTGAGGTCCCTTCCAACCCTGATATTCTATGATTCTATGTTTACTGACTCAGTTAGATCTCAGCACAATCAATATTCCAATTGTAATTGCTGCTTGTTGTGTGCTCCACGATATCTGTGAGAGTAAGGGGGAGATGTTTATGGCGGGGTGGGAGGTTGAGGAAACTCGCCTAGTGGCCAGTTTCGCACAGCCAGACAACAGGGCAATTAGAAATGCGCAGCTGGGCACGCTGCACATCAGAGAAGCTTTGAAAGCCAGTTTCATGACTGTCCAGGGTAAAGTGTGAGAATTGTGTTTGTTTCTCTTAAAGTTACCTGGCCCCTATATATATATATATATATATATATATATATGGAAATAAAGTCACAATTGTTTAAAAACTGTTCTTTATTATTTGTTGCGCAAAAGATTGAGAGAAATCAGAAGCTAGATGGGGGAGGGGGAGTATTGGTTTGGGGGTGGAGGACGAGGGAAGGACAAGTCCAGAAACCAAATAAAAATTTAGGATATGCCAAATTTCTGCTGCTTGTGCAATCCTCGGGGGTTGACTGTGTGGGTCCCTGTAGCCTCCCCCCTTCCCCCCCGTGTTCTTAGGCATCTGGGTGAGGAGGCTATGGAACTTGGGGAGGAGGAAGGGCCGTTATTCAGGGGCTGCAGCAGCAGTCTGTGGTCTTGTTGCCTTTCCCGCATTAGATCCACCATACAGCGGATCATGTCAGTTTGCTCCCCAATGAGCTTGACCATAGCATCCGGCCTGCTCTCATCGTGCATGTCCCTCCTCTCTTTGTATTCATGTAACGCTTTATGCGACTCCGCAATTGTTTGCCTCCACGCATTCAACTGGGCCCTATCAGTGAGGGAGGATTGCATGAACTCGGCAAACATGTCGTCCCGAGTTCGTTTTTTCCGCCTTGTAATCTGGACCAGCCTCTGGGACGGAGTAGATAGGGGCCGCATTGAAACATTTGCGCCTGCTGCAAGGGGAGAAAAAGGGAACAACGGCTGAAAATGGTTGTCTTCTGTGGCTTTCACAGAGATGGGAGCCCAAGACAGACAACATGGAGAAGCTTGGAAGCGTGGCAATAGCGGGAGAGCAGAGTTGGCTGCGGAAGCTGTGCTGCTCAGTTCACGATGGCCAAGCAGAGTTGAGTTGGAGAGGTGGATTCATAGTAGCAGGAGAACAGCGGTGCACTGTCTGCTGAAAGCAATATGGCGTCTGCACGCCAAAAAGGCGTGAAACGATTGGCTGCCTTAGCTTTCTGACGACACACCCAGAAACACCTGCAAGAATGTTTTTGTCCCATCATGCACTGGGAGCTTAACCCAGAATTCCAATGGGTGGCGGGGATGGCGGGGACGGCAGGAACTGTGGAATAGCTACTCACAGTGCACCGCTCCGACATTCGATGGCAGCCTTGGTACTGTGGACGCAATCCGCCAAATTCACGTGCTTTAGTGGGGACACGGAAGACCAAATGTATAAAATAGCTTCCAAAAATTCAAATAGAATAATTTCAAAATAATTTTGTACTGTAGACGTACCCTGAGTATTTCTAGTGAGTAGGGAATCCTACCCTAGCTCCAAACGTACACGGAGCTTTAGAAGTGAAGTGAAGGTGTGACCTGTGACAGCATATTGCACAGAAACAAAGCTAAATCTTCAGGTCAGGAAATGCGAAATCTTACTTATCTCAAAACAGTCTAATGATCACAGGGATGTGTCAGTGTGGGGGTGACCTGAGACGTATTTTTGACTTATAGCCAGTCAAAGCCCACATCCTTATTCTAGGTTTCAGAGTAACAGCCGTGTTAGTCTGTATTCGCAAAAAGAAAAGGAGTACTTGTGGCACCTTAGAGACGAACCAATTTATTTGAGCATAAGCTTTCGTGAGCTACAGCTCACTTCATCAGATGCATACTGTGGAAATGTAGAAGATCTTTTTATATACATACAAAGCATGAAAAAATACCTCCTCTCACCCCACTCTCCTGCTGGTAATAGCTTATCTAAAGTGATCACTCTCCTTACAATGTGTATGATAATCAAGGTGGGCCATTTCCAGCACAAATCCAGGGTTTAACAAGAACGTCTGGGGGGGGGGGGGGGGTTAGGAAAAAACAAGGGGAAATAGGTTACCTTGCATAATGACTTAGCCACTCCCAGTCTCTATTCAAGCCTAAGTTAATTGTATCCAATTTGCAAATGAATTCCAATTCAACAGTTTCTCGCTGGAGTCTGGATTTGAAGTTTTTTTTGTTGTAAAATAGCAACTTTCATGTCTGTAATCGCGTGACCAGAGAGATTGAAGTGTTCTCCGACTGGTTTATGAATGTTATAATTCTTGACATCTGATTTGTGTCCATTTATTCTTTTACGTAGAGACTGTCCAGTTTGACCAATGTACATGGCAGAGGGGCATTGCTGGCACATGATGGCATATATCATATTGGTGGATGTGCAGGTGAACGAGCCTCTGATAGTGTGGCTGATGTTATTTGGCCCTGTGATGGTGTCCCCTGAATAGATATGTGGGCACAGTTGGCAACGGGCTTTGTTGCAAGGATAGGTTCCTGGGTTAGTGGTTCTGTTGTGTGATATGTGGTTGCTGGTGAGTATTTGCTTCAGGTTGGGGGGCTGTCTGTAGGTAAGGACTGGCCTGTCTCCCAGGATTTGTGAGAGTGTTGGGTCATCCTTCAGGATAGGTTGTAGATCCTTAATAATGCGTTGGAGGGGTTTTAGTTGGGGGCTGAAGGTGACGGCTAGTGGCGTTCTGTTATTTTCTTCGTTAGGCCTGTCCTGTAGTAGGTGACTTCTGGGAACTCTTCTGGCTCTATCAATCTGTTTCTTCACTTCCGCAGGTGGGTATTGTAGTTGTAAGAATGCTTGATAGAGATCTTGTAGGTGTTTGTCTCTGTCTGAGGGGTTGGAGCAAATGCGGTTGTATCGCAGAGCTTGGCTGTAGACAATGGATCGTGTGGTGTGGTCAGGGTGAAAGCTGGAGGCATGTAGGTAGGAATAGCGGTCAGTAGGTTTCCGGTATAGGGTGGTGTTTATGTGGCCATTGTTTATTAGCACTGTAGTGTCCAGGAAGTGGATCTCTTGTGTTGACTGGACCAGGCTGAGGTTGATGGTGGGATGGAAATTGTTGAAATCATGGTGGAATTCCTCAAGGGCTTCTTTTCCATGGGTCCAGATGATGAAGATGTCATCATTATAGCGCAAGTAGAGTAGGGGCGTTAGGGGATGAGAGCTGAGGAAGTGTTCTAAATCAGCCATAAAAATGTTGGCATACTGTGGGGCCATGAGGGTACCCATAGCAGTGCTGCTGATCTGAAGGTATACATTGTCCCCAAATGTGAAATAGTTATGGTAAGGACAAAGTCACAAAGTTTAGCCACCAGGTTAGCCGTGACATTATCGGGGATAGTGTTTTTGACGGCTTGTAGTCCATCTTTGTGTGGAATGTTGGTGTAGAGGGCTTCTACATCCATAGTGGCCAGGATGGTGTTAACAGGAAGATCACCAATGGATTGTAGTTTCCTCAGGAAGTCAGTGGTGTCTCGAAGGTAGCTGGGAGTGCTGGTAGCGTAGGGCCTGAGGAGGGAGTCTACATAGCCAGACAATCCTGCTGTCAGGGTGCCAATGCCCGAGATGATGGGGCGCCCAGGATTTCCAGGTTTATGGATCTTGGGTAGTAGATAGAATATCCCAGGTTGGGGTTCCAGGGGTGTGTCTGTGCAGATTTGATCTTGTGCTTTTTCAGGGAGTTTCTTGAGCAAATGCTGTAGTTTCTTTTGGTAACTCTCAGTGGGATCAGAGGGTAATGGCTTGTAGAAAGTGGTGTTGGAGAGCTGCCGAGCAGCCTCTTGTTCATATTCCGACCTATTCATGATGACAACAGCACCTCCTTTGTCAGCCTTTTTGATTATGATGTCAGAGTTGTTTCTGAGGCTGTGGATGGCATTGTGTTCTGCACGGCTGAGGTTATGGGGCAAGTGATGCTGCTTTTCCACAATTTCAGCCCGTGCACGTCGGCGGAAGCACTCTATGTAGAAGTCCAGTCTGCTGTTTCGACCTTCAGGAGGAGTCCACCTAGAATCCTTCTTTTTGTAGTGTTGGTAGGGAGGTCTCTGTGGATTAGTATGTTGTTCAGAGGTATGTTGGAAATATTCCTTGAGTCGGAGACGTCAAAAATAGGATTCTAGGTCACCACAGAACTGTAACATGTTCGTGGGGGTGGAGGGGCAGAAGGAGAGGCCGCGAGATAGGACAGCTGCTTCTGCTGGGCTGAGAGGATAGTTGGATAGGTTAACAATATTGCTGGGTGGTTTGAGGGAACCATTGCTGTGGCCCCTTGTGGCATGTAGTAGTTTAGAAAGTTTAGTGTCCTTTCTCTTTTGTAGAGAAGCAAAGTGTGTGTTGTAAATGGCTTGTCTAGTTTTAGTAAAGTCCAGCCATGAGGAATTTTGTGTGGAAGGTTGGTTTTTTATGAGAGTATCCATTTTTGAGAGCTCATTCTTAATCTTTCCCTGTTTGCTGTAGAGGATGTCACGATAATGTCACGGCTAACATGGTGGCTGAACTTTGTGACTTTGTCCTTACCCATAACTATTTTACATTTGGGGACAATGTATACCTTCAGATCAGCAGCACTGCTATGGGTACCCTCATGGCCCCACAGTATGCCAACATTTTTATGGCTGATTTAGAACAACACTTCCTCAGCTCTCATCCCCTAACGCCCCTACTCTACTTGCGCTATAATGATGACATCTTCATTATCTGGACCCATGGAAAAGAAGCCCTTGAGGAATTCCACCATGATTTCAACAATTTCCATCCCACCATCAACCTCAGCCTGGTCCAGTCAACACAAGAGATCCACTTCCTGGACACTACAGTGCTAATAAATGATGGTCACATAAACACCACTCTATACCGGAAACCTACTGACCGCTATTCCTACCTACATGCCTCCAGCTTTCACCCTGACCACACCACACGATCCATCGTCTACAGCCAAGCTCTGCGATACAACTGCATTTGCTCCAACCCCTCAGACAGAGACAGACACCTACAAGAGCTCTATCAAGCATTCTTACAACTACAGTACCCACCTGCGGAAGTGAAGAAACAGATTGATAGAGCCAGAAGAGTTCCCAGAAGTCACCTACTACAGGCCAGGCCTAACAAAGAAAATAACAGAACGCCACTAGCGGTCACCTTCAGCCCCCAACTAAAACCCCTCCAACGCATTATTAAGGATCTACAACCTATCCTGGAAGATGACCCAACACTCTCACAAATCCTGGGAGACAGGCCAGTCCTTGCCTACAGACAGCCCCCCAACCTGAAGCAAATACTCACCAGCAACCACATATCACACAACAGAACCACTAACCCAGAAACCTATCCTTGCAACAAAGCCCGTTGCCAACTGTGCCCACATATCTATTCAGGGACACCATCACAGGGCCAATAACATCAGCCACACTATCAGAGGCTCGTTCACCTGCACATCCACCAATATGATATATGCCATCATGTGCCAGCAATGCCCCTCTGCCATGTACATTGGTCAAACTGGACAGTCTCTACGTAAAAGAATAAATGGACACAAATCAGATGTCAAGAATTATAACATTCATAAAAAGAAAAGGAGTACTTGTGGCACCTTAGAGACTAACCAATTTATTTGAGCATGAGCTTTCGTGAGCTACAGCTCACTTCATCAGATGTTTACCGTGGAAACTGCAGCAGACTTTATATACACACAGAGAATATGAAACAATACCTCCTCCCACCCCACTGTCCTGCTGGTAATAGCTTATCTAAAGTGATCAACAGGTGGGCCATTTCCAGCACAAATCCAGGTTTTCTCACCCTCCACCCCCCCACACAAATTCACTCTCCTGCTGGTGCTAGCCCATCCAAAGTGACAACTCTTTACATAATCAAGTCGGGCTATTTCCTGCATAGATCCAGGTTTTCTCACATCCCCCCACCCCCATACACACACAAACTCACTCTCCTGCTGGTAATTGCTCATCTAAACTGACCACTCTCCAAGTTTAAATCCAAGTTAAACCAGAACATCTGGGGGGGGGGGAGGAAAACAAGAGGAAACAGGCTACCTTGCATAATGACTTAGCCACTCCCAGTCTCTATTTAAGCCTAAATTAATAGTATCCAATTTGCAAATGAATTCCAATTCAGCAGTTTCTCGCTGGAGTCTGGATTTGAAGTTTTTTTGTTTTAAGATAGCGACCTTCATGTCTGTGATTGCGTGACCAGAGAGACTGAAGTGTTCTCCGACTGGTTTATGAATGTTATAATTCTTGACATCTGATTTGTGTCCATTTATTCTTTTACGTAGAGACTGTCCAGTTTGACCAATGTACATGGCAAAGGGGCATTGCTGGCACATGACGGCATATATCACATTGGTGGATGTGCAGGTGAACGAGCCTCTGATAGTGTGGCTGATGTTATTAGGCCCTGTGATGGTGTCCCCTGAATAGATATGTGGGCACAATTGGCAACGGGCTTTGTTGCAAGGATAAGTTCCTGGGTTAGTGGTTCTGTTGTGTGGTATGTGGTTGTTGGTGAGTATTTGGTTCAGGTTGCGGGCTGTCTGTAGGCAAGGACTGGCCTGTCTCCCAAGACTTGTGAGAGTGTTGGGTCATCCTTTAGGATAGGTTGTAGATCCTTAATAATGCGTTGGAGGGGTTTTAGTTGGGGGCTGAAGGTGACCGCTAGTGGCGTTCTGTTATTTTCTTTGTTAGGCCTGTCCTCTAGTAGGTAACTTCTGGGAACTCTTCTGGCTCTATCAATCTGTTTCTTTACTTCTGCAGGTGGGTATTGTAGTTGTAAGAAAGCTTGACAGAGATCTTGTAGGTGTTTGTCTCTGTCTGACGGGTTGGAGCAAATGCGGTTGTATCGCAGAGCTTGGCTGTAGACGATGGATCGTGTGGTGTGGTCAGGGTGAAAGCTGGAGGCATGCAGGTAGGAATAGCGGTCAGTAGGTTTCCGGTATAGGGTGGTGTTTATGTGGCCATTGTTTATTAGCACTGTAGTGTCCAGGAAGTGGATCTCTTGTGTGGACTGGACCAGGGTGAGGTTGGTGGTGGGATGGAAATTGTTGAAATCATGGTGGAATTCCTCAAGGGCTTCTTTTCCATGGGTCCAGATGATGAAGATGTCATCAATATAGCGCAAGTAGAGTAGGGGCTTTAGGGGACGAGAGCTGAGGAAGCGTTGTTCTAAATCAGCCATAAAAATGTTGGCATACTGTGGGGCCATGCGGGTACCCATAGCAGTGCCGCTGATCTGAAGGTATACATTGTCCCCAAATGTGAAATAGTTATGGATAAGGACAAAGTCACAAAGTTCAGCCACCAGGTTAGCCGTGACATTATCGGGGATAGTGTTCTTGACGGCTTGTAGTCCATCTTTGTGTGGAATGTTGGTGTAGAGGGCTTCTACATCCATAGTAGCCAGGATGGTGTTATCAGGAAGATCACCGATGGATTGAAGTTTCCTCAGGAAGTCAGTGGTGTCTCGAAGGTAGCTGGGAGTGCTGGTAGCGTAGGGCCTGAGGAGGAGTCTACATAGCCAGACAATCCTGCTGTCAGGGTGCCAATGCCTGAGATGATGGAGCGCCCAGGATTTCCAGGTTTATGGATCTTGGGTAGTAGATAGAATATCCCAGGTCGGGGTTCCAGGGGTGTGTCTGTGCGGACCGCTATTCCTACCTGCATGCCTCCAGCTTTCACCCTGACCACACCACACGATCCATCGTCTACAGCCAAGCTCTGCGATACAACCGCATTTGCTCCAACCCTTCAGACAGAGACAAACACCTACAAGATCTCTGTCAAGCTTTCTTACAACTACAATACCCACCTGCAGAAGTAAAGAAACAGATTGATAGAGCCAGAAGAGTTCCCAGAAGTTACCTACTACAGGACAGGCCTAACAAAGAAAATAACAGAACGCCACTAGCGGTCACCTTCAGCCCCCAACTAAAACCCCTCCAACGCATTATTAAGGATCTACAACCTATCCTAAAGGATGACCCAACACTCTCACAAGTCTTGGGAGACAGGCCAGTCCTTGCCTACAGACAGCCCCGCAACCTGAAGCAAATACTCACCAACAACCACATACCACACAACAGAACCACTAACCCAGGAACTTATCCTTGCAACAAAGCCCGTTGCCAATTGTGCCCACATATCTATTCAGGGGACACCATCACAGGGCCTAATAACATCAGCCACACTATCAGAGGCTCGTTCACCTGCACATCCACCAATGTGATATATGCCGTCATGTGCCAGCAATGCCCCTCTGCCATGTACATTGGTCAAACTGGACAGTCTCTACGTAAAAGAATAAATGGACACAAATCAGATGTCAAGAATTATAACATACATAAACCAGTCGGAGAACACTTCAATCTCTCTGGTCACGCAATCACAGACATGAAGGTCGCTATCTTAAAACAAAAAAACTTCAAATCCAGACTCCAGCGAGAAACTGCTGAATTGGAATTCATTTGCAAATTGGATACTATTAATTTAGGCTTAAATAGAGACTGGGAGTGGCTAAGTCATTATGCAAGGTAGCCTGTTTCCTCTTGTTTTTCCTAACCCCCCCCCCCCTCCAGACGTTCTTGTTAAACCCTGGATTTGTGCTGGAAATGGCCCACCTTGATTATCACACACCTTGTAAGGAGAGTGATCACTTTCGATAAGCTATTACCAGCAGGAGAGTGGGTTTGTGTGTGTGTGTGGGGGGGGGTGAGAAAACCTGGATTTGTGCTGGAAATGGCCCACCTTGATTATCACACACCTTGTAAGGAGAGTGATCACTTTCGATAAGCTATTACCAGCAGGAGAGTGGGTTTGTGTGTGTGTGTGGGGGGGGGGGGGGGTGAGAAAACCTGGATTTGTGCTGGAAATGGCCCACCTTGATTATCATACACATTGTAAGGAGAGTGATCACTTTAGATAAACTATTACCAGCAGGAGAGTGGGGTGGGAGGAGGTATTTTTTTATGCTTTGTGTGTATATAAAAAGATCTTCTATACTTTCCATAGTATGCATCCGATGAAGTGAGCTGTAGCTCACCAATGCTTATGCTCAAATAAATTGGTTAGTCTCTAAGGTGCCACAAGTACTCCCATCCTTATTCTAATTGTTAATAAATAATTCCTAATATAAATAGGTACAACAGTCACTTATTTATTTTGGTGACATTTCTAAAAAAAAAAAAAAAGGTAATCTTACCTGGATGACTTCCCTAAAACATGTTGCAAAAAGAAAAGGAGTCCTTGTGGCACCTTAGAGACACTCCTTTTCTTTTTGCGAATACAGACTAACACGGCTGTTCCTCTGAAACCTAAAACATGTTGACCTTGGAACAAGGAGCCCTGATTAAGGAACCGACTTCTTCACCCTTGTGCCTAACCCGCTGCCAGAGCTCCTGCATTTCTTGGCTCTGGGTCTTTTCCTGCTCTCTGTCAGGTCCCCCGCCTCGGGTTTCCCTCCCCCGCTTCCTGTCCCCAGCAGTGTGGCTGTAGAAGCAGCTGTTGCTGTTCTTCACAATGGTTGGGGGAAACCGGACAGACGGAGCTGGGAGTTCAGGCTGAGCAGCAGCAGCAGCAGCGTGGGTCTGGTGCTGGGTAAGAGAGATCGTCCGCCTCTTCCCTCAGCTCGCCCGGAGAGAGAGATTAGAAGAGCTTCCTCCTCCCCCTCGCACACAATGGGGCCTGCGGATACCGCCGAACTCCCCGACGGCGTGAGTTTGCACTTCTCAGTGCAGGCTGCTAACATGCACTCGTCGGCCCTCGTTTCGCCCGAGGGGTTGCGTCCGCCAGGTCCAGGAAACAGTGAGACGGAGAGCCCCGCCGCTGGAAATGAAAGGAGGCTACTGTAATGCACGCAGCCTGCTTCCTGCTCTGTGCATTTCAGCAGCGCGCTCCTGCTGCAAGGGCGCTGAGGGCAAGAGAGGGGGTGGCCTTCTCTCCTCCTGCCCGAGAGTGGGAAAACAAATAACTTCTCATGCTGTACATTTTGGTGTTGGAAATTGGAAGTTGAACATGAAAGTGTGGGGAGGGTGAAATTCCAACTTCTGTGGCTGGGGGAGGGATCTTCCTGCCTCATCATAGTTGGGTGGCACGTGAAGTAATTGTAGGATGTATGCAGATATTGCTGTTAATCATCCTTAGTTTTCCCCATAAATGAAAAAGTAAGCTGTACTGGATCAATGCAGACTGTGACAGCATTTAGTTGTAATATCACTTGGGTTTGCTTAGGCAATATTGCAGCCCAACTCAGTATCAGATTTGCATGGAAAGGTATCTTGGATCTGAAGTCTTGGGTTTCTGCCACCAGTCTAGTATTTTAATTTTTACTGCTCAGTCAACTAAATATAGGACCACTGCTGCTGGGTCACTGTCTAGGAGGGCTTAGGCATACTCCTTAGTCAAGATACCAAAAGCATCCAAAGGAGGCATGACATGGAGATGTGCTGCTTGACCAGCTATAGACTGGGATTCTAGGCTGCTGCCTTTTGCATGATGTTACTAGATGCATCGGCTGGTCCTTTTCTACTTCTTTCCCATTTTGGCTCATCTGTTGTTCTTACAATTCTTTTTGAGCTAAAATTCTTTGTACTTTGTCTCCCCAGTTTTCTATTAATTCATGCTAACAGAAATGCCAGAGGTCCCTTTTGAAAACAAAATAGATTAATAGATTTTAAGGCCAGAATGGACCATTATAATAATCTAGTCTGATGTGCATAACACAGGCTATAGAATTCCACCCAGTAATTTCTGCTTCAAGCCCATAACTTCTGAGTATTGTGGTCTCACAAAAAGGGCGGTCCGATCCATCACTGCGCACTACTGTTATTGCGATAGGGCTGGTCTCTGCATCCTAAGACACTCAACCAATGACTTCAGCAATCACTGAGTGATTTCTGCATACTTCCAGGTGAAGTTTAGAGTTGGCTGGTGGTAGGAGAGGTAGTTAGAAGCAGAGTTTTGCCTTCTACTCCGTAAGTGAACCCTAGTAAAGAGGTAATGGGGAGGAACCCAGAGAAGGCCTGGTATTAGAGGCCTGCTGTCTTAATTGCTGGAAAGTTCAGGTTACTGAAAACACAAGTATTTTTGTAAGGACTAGTGAACTGAACAGTCCCTCTTCTGGATATACCTAGGTTTCATTTGCATGTATTATCGCTCTGGTTCCTTTTTTCCATGTTTATTTGTATGTTTTTTCTGGGCCTCAATTTATGTGTGTAAATAACTCGTGTTCCACTACTCATTATGAGGGTTGCTTCTAAGAATTTTTAAATGAGGCCATATGTCCTCATTTTGTCTACCTTTGAAACATTCTGTGTGAAAGACACACTATAGGGAACCAAGTAGACATTCCGCCCTGGTGAGACAACAAAAATGGGACAACATATAATCAGGTGCAGATTAGCCACTAGGCCAACGGGGCCTATGCCCGGGTGCCCCGGCTCTGCCACCTGCCCAGTGCTCCTGTCAGGGAGTGGGGGCTTGCCCCACTCTGCATGCTCAGTGCTCCTGCTGGGGAGCCGGGTTAGGGCACGGGGGCTTGCTGGGCAGGCAGAGTGTGGCAAGCCCCCGTGCCCCAACCCGACTCCCTGGCAGGAGTGCTGGGCGGGGCTGGGAAAGCCCCCATGCCCCAATCACATTTCCCTGGCGGGAGCAGTAGGGGTAGGGGGACACACTGCAGACAGAAAGGATGGGGAGGGACCCCCACTTGTTCTGGGCGAGGGCCCCACAAACCCCTAATCTGCCTCTTCATATAATAAAGAAAATCCTCCAGAATTTAAGGAGAGTATCACAGGTTTTTCTTTTTCCTGTTGTACCCTTCCGCCACCTGTGCACAAAGGATAATCTAGTCCAACAGTTAAATATTCAGACGATTGTAGGGTCATGGGAGTCCTTGTGATTTAATATATAGTTAGGAGTTCTGACATCCTGAACAACTCAGATCTTCATGTGGGGCTCAATATGTGGGGCTTGGTGTTTTTGGTTTTGGGAAAAGGTGTTAATTTTTTTAATTTACATATTTATATTTAGTGTGAAAATTCAGTATTTAATTATTGGAAAAAATAGATTTAACAAAAGGTAGTCAATAATATTAAGAATCTACAAATGTCTTTTTTTTTATTTTGATAGCCATGACTGACCATTTTGATTTAAGAATATAACTCAAAGCAATTAATCATTTTAAAGATACATTTACTCATTTTGTAGTCTTTTGGATGGTGCAACAATAATGACAGTAACGAGTAATTAAGGGAGATTTAAAATTGAAGTTCATGGAGTCTGTTCATTAATTAAATAAAAAATTCAGAGTATTTTATGTAGTTACAGTGTAGTTACTTACATTAGTGGAAAGTACATTCAAATAACCGCTATTTCTGATTTAGTAATATTTCTCACTTACTTTGTACTATTGTAAATGACTACATAAAATGCAGGGCAATGGAGTATCTGACCCATTGTAAAAATTCACTATTCACTGCAGAGTGGAGTAGAAAGGAACTGGGGGAGGAAGGATGTTCCATGGTTTGAGTGCCAGGCTAGGACTTGGAAGACCTGGGTGGAAGTTCTCCCTCTGCCACAGACTTCCTGTGGGACCTTGGGCAAGTCACTTAGTTTCTCTGTGCCACAGTTATCCTCATTTTACAGATGGGAAAGTAGTTGTGAGGTTAAATGCAGCAGATTCCCCTTAATAGCAGTCCTGATTTTAACTTCTGATTAATAACATTTTACCAGGAATAAATCCTGTCCCATTGACTGCTACTTTTACTTGTCCCTTTCATGATATGTTAGCACACTGGACCCTCACTGTTTTTGTTTCCTCATTCACAGTTTCCTCTCTGGAAGTGCTTCCCTGGTGGGACTGGGTGCGGTGCCTGCATGGAGAAAAAGATGGGGGAAGCTGTAGCCAGAGTTGCCAGAAAGGTGAATGAAACAGTGGAGAATGGAGCAGACTCGCTAGGTGAGTTAATCAGTCTGGCTTTGCTCACAGTGTGAGTTGGTCCCATACAGAGGGGCCCTTCAACCAGGGACACTAGGCCATTATTCTCGGACTCAGTCATTTAAAAGGTTGTTACCAAGACAGCTGGAGAATGGTTTTTAGTTTTCCTACCAATTTGTTCCATTTATATTTTGAAAAATGTTGATTTCTCCATCTCCTGATCCATGTTTCCAAAGAGAGCAGAGGCCAACATGGCTTCTTTCACTTAACTTTGGCATGCGTGTGCTAGCATGCTTAATAATGTCATCAGGGATGTGCATGGTTCAGAAAATAGTGTTAATAATTAACTGTTTGCAGCAGGATACTTTAATTATTTTCATAATACAAAAGCTTTTTTTGTATTTATTTTCAATGAATTGTGCATTTTAAAAGTGCCAACTATTGCCAGGTTGGTTAGCTTTCTGGCAGAGGTCCCTGTGTCATCTGTTTGGAGTAGAGACTGCAGCCTGCTGTGCCCCCAACCTGGTATGCTGACTAGTTCCTTTGTAGGAGGATGGAAATAATGTTCTCTTTGAAAATGTCAATCTGTTTGTAAACAGAGGGCTAGATTTTTGCCTTCTCAGTGTCCTATTTTACACTGCACTGATGGTGTAAAGGGCCTGCAGAGGGAGTGGAAGCAGCCCTTACAGACTGTCACAGGAAGGGTTTCCCACTGGAGCACAGAGCCAGCACAATTGTCCTGTGCTGGCCTTTAGTGCATCACAAGACCTTGTGGTATGGTAGGGGAGTGAGGAGGCATAGTTGGACCACACTGCCCGCTGACTATTCTGTGCTGGTGGATGGCTCCACAGTCTTTGTATTGTACATGGTCCTCCCCATCTGATTGTAGGGAGATGTACAGTGAGTACAGAAACCAGTCATTCTTTCACTTCTGTCAACGCTGTCATCTTCTGGTATGTCACAGGTGCAGTCTTTATTCAGAGTATAGAGTCCACCACTATAGATGACATAGACAGTTAGCACTGGGGACATGTACAATCCCAAATCTATTAAAAAGGCAAATTTTACAACAATATCCTCAAAGTTAACTGTCAGCACCCCTTAATGAAATCAGAGAGGGCCATATAGTTGACTTAGGCCTATTTTATCTAGTAAATCATCTGTCCTTCATATTCAACACACATCAGTCATTAGTTTATGGTTTTCCACCCAGTAATGGGAATTGTCCATGTAGTTCGGGAATTAGGCCTACCAGGAAGACCACAGGTTCTTAGAAGGTTTAACTGATTCCTAGTTATCATTTAATTAATTTCTCTTTATCCCCTATCAGTGTCCTTGGATGCTTTTTAAGTTGGCTCTTTGTGTAGATACTTTGACATCCTATGTGCTGCCAGAAAGGTACATAAGCTCTGCAGGATACGGACTGTTTTTTTTTCCATCTGTATAACCTTTGACACAGTGGGACCTCAATCCTAAATGGAACCCTTGTACGCTACCATAATAAAGTATTAAGAATAAAAAATCTGGGCTTGATTGAAATGAAAATACCTCAAGAACAGTTGAACATCTTCTACAGCTGTTCTTTTTGCTCCTTCATCTGTCAGTCTTCATGCCTAGCAGGGGAAATAAGAGAGCCGCTATACTTTCTTCTAAGGCATGGGAGCCTCACTTCATTCTGTAGCACATAACAGACTGATAGTGTGACTATGGTATGATCAGTTCAACAGCATGCTCCTGAGGAGCCCCGCTGCATGGGCCTTGTATCTTTTAGGCTTAGATGATAAGGAGGACATGGGCAATTTTAACATACTGTCACCAATATGGCTGAGATACTGGCAAGTTACTGTCTGCCCTTCACTCTTTTCCCTCTGGCACCCTTTGGAAGTTCTATCTTGGGTGGCCTCTCCCCATCCAGAGGTACTTTGAAGTAGAGGTATAAATGCCAGCTCAAGGAGACATGCATGCATGCTAAAAATAGAGTTTAGCTGTGGTGGCACAAGCAGTGAGAGGGGCTAGCTGCCCCAAGTACATGCCTGTAAGAGATACTGAGAGCCCATTTCAGGTGGCTAGCCCATCCCGCTGCCCATGCTGCAGTTACTCTCTTTTTAGCGTGCTAGCTTGATCAGAGCTAGTGTGAGTACTGTATATTGCCTTCAGCTGCAGTTTACACTTCCAGCTTGAAGAGTAGAGAACCTGACTGAGAGTAAGTCTAGATTTTTAAAAAAACATATAATGAATGGTATGGTAAAGCCCTAATTAAAAAAATTAAATCAGAGGACTGGCTTGCTTTAACTAAATCCTCATTGGGTCTAGTTACTACCTGCAACTTCTCTCTTTAGGCAGGTGGAAAGTGTTCTAAACACCCCACAGGCATAGCTGGTTGCCTAGATCAAATTCTCTTCTCCCAGGAAGAACATCCTTCCCTTAGCCAGCCCTCTGCCTTCTGGGGGTAGCCATCATAATGAGCTCCATCTGGGATGCTTACTGCTTCCCAGTGCCTACCTTAACCCTCTCCTTACTTCTTAGGTGCATGGCTTTGTAATTACCATCACACTCTGTTACCCTTTCTTGGCCTGATGGAAGCATTTGCTTCCCTACTCATTTAGAACTTTGTTCCCAATACCTTTCTTATTCTAGCAGATACTGTATAGTTCCCTGGCTCATCCAAAAATAAGCCCCTAGAGCTTACCATGACAGGCAAAGTGACAAGTGAAGGACCCACCTTTCTTCTCCAATTTGTGTTTTTCCAAGGGCACAGAAAAGGTGTTTATATTTTCATCCTCTTATTTAGGGAACTGCTGGATATCTGCTTTTAAACTGAGAGACCAACCCAACTAACAACTAATGGGTACTAGTGCCTTCAGTTCAGCCATGTCTTTCAAGACACTGATTTCTCTCTGTCTTTCTGGGTTTGCTCAGTATCTGGAAACTGGAACTTATCCCATGCGCTCCTGTTGAAACAGACTTTTTCTCAGGCTCTCATACCTCATGCTAATGATGCTCTTCCTGTTCCCAGTCAACCTGCCTACATCATTCCTTCATCTTAACAGCACGCTTCATGCTCTTCAGTGGCATGACAACACCACGCCAGTGATGTCTTTTTACAGTTCTGGTTACCTGGCTGCTTTCTGTTTTATCCACCAGTTTCTCAGTTTCCCTTGCTTCACCGCAACCATGGATCTCCAACTTTTCTCCCAATTTTTTGGGCATTCAGCAAAACCTGGGACAGTCCTCAGTAAAAGCTTCACTTTTCTTTTGTTAAAGCTTGTAGTATTCGCAAGAAAGCAGGGAGTCTCAAGTTTCAGTGAAATGCTTTTATTTAGCAAGTGTGTTAATGACATGATGGGATGAAACTGGATGTAGTATCTTACTCAGTGAGCTCTTAAACTTTGTCTTCTTCCATGTCTCTTTAGTAGGTTTTTCAACAGAAAATTGGGTTTTGTCTATATGAAATTTTTTACCAAGTGTCTGCTTTCCACAGAAAATTTCAATATTCTGTTGAAAACCAAAACATTTTGGGTTTTTGGCCAAAAAATCCTGATATTTTGACAGGTCTGACCTTAGGCATGGGTACCAGAGCAGTTGCCCAGGTTGCCAACTGCCAGGGTAGCAAATCAACTGGGGAGGCACCTCATCATTTAGCTGGTCAGGTGCAGGGAGTAAGATGGCATCAAAAACATTTTCCATCATGGACAGCAAAACATGTAGGGGTAGCCCTGTTTTATGATTCAAATGCTGCTGTGGTGTCTCACAGAAGTAGTAGGTCAGGTGTCTTTATGCTCCCATTCTTCTCAATGGAACTGGGCAAGGCTTTCTGTCTGACCTGCATCTCCTTTGATGTACCATGGTTAGTGACTCCTACGTGCACTCCCACCCTTCATCGAGAATGGAGAAGAGTGGTGTATCATGGGAGATGTAGTTTGGCCAGAAAGTAAGACCCATAGAGGAGAATGACAACTCCCATGAGGCATGACAGCACCATGTTGAATCAAAATATTTCAGTCTGGGGACAAAATACTTCACTGAAAAGTCAGACTTTTCTGGGAGAGCCTATTTCCCAGCTAGCTCTACTCTGTCTAGCCTGGTTCCTGTTAAAGGTCTTCAGGGTACTCCAGATGGCACTATGACACAAAGCCTTGATAGATATGTTACTCTCCTTTCCTCTCAATACTCTGTTAGCTCCTCCACAGCTTGGAAAAGTACATAGACACGGGTCTCATGCAGTGTTCGCTCTAATTTTTTACATCCATGTGTGGAATGAATTTTGTTATGTGCACCAATATGGAGGTGGTGGGGGTGGGGACAAGGGGTTTGGAGTGGGGGGGGGGGGCTCAGGTCTGGGGCAGAGGGTTGGGGTGTGGGGGAGTGCAGGCTCTGGCTGGGGGTGCGGGCTCTGGGGTGGGGCTGGGGATGAGGGGTTTGGGATGCAGGCTCAGGGATGGGGCAGTAGGTTGGGGTGCAAGGGGGTGCAAGCTCTGGGGTGGGGCCATGGATGAAGGCTTCGGGATGCAGGCTGCCCCGGGGCTGCAGCAGGGATATAGGACTTCCCCCAGCCCTCTCTTGCCCCAGCAGCTCGGGGCCGGGTGAGAGTTGCCTCTCCCCAGCCGCGGCAGCTCCAGCAGGGTGGGGCTGGGCTGGGCTGGGCTGGGCCGGGGGAGGGGCTCTTCTCCCCACCTGCAAGGCCCTTGATAGCCTGCTGCATGGCCACATAGCTTACAGGGAACTTAGGTCTCATGCTCAATCTCATCCAAAGGTAAATTTAAACAAAATAAACCTCTTTATTCACCAAGTGTTTGTTTGTTTCTTTAAGCAACAAGGTTGATATATTTATGGAAATTTTTACTAGCTACATAAAAGAGCATCCATCCTAAGCTCTGGGTGTTCTTGACAAACTCTTGATAAGTTATACATAAGACTTTACAGTTGGACCACTAATACCACTACTGCAACAGCAGTATACATTTAACAATAAATCCCTACCAGCAAAACTACCTTTGAGTTTCAATCTCACCCTTCTATAT